TGAAAAAAAAAATATATATATATATATATATATAAATAAAATAATTATATACAACATACATAGATAGCTAGATAGTTCTTAAAAATAATAAAATAAATAATTATACAAAACATTACTGTAATAAGAATTTAGGTGTTTAATTAATGCAAAAATTGTTAATTGCCCTAAAAACAGGATTAATTTTATTTGTGCACAATATTTGTTCTTTTATATATTTTTGGGTGAAATATGACCTATAAAAGTTTCATGTTCAGTTATGGTGCATAGTCTACAGCGACTGAGGATGAAGATGATGACACGAGTTTGACTCACCACTGTCTGGACCTGCTGCTCGGTGAAATCCTGCTGGAGCCAGTCTCTGCGTCCCTCACTCCTCTGGGCCCCCATCATTCACAATCAATATATTCTCAGCGGATCAATGAAGATCGATAGAAAGGCTCCAGGGGTTTCGTGATGCTGATCGGTAAGTGTGCACACTTCACCGCTGCGACCTGACAGCAACTCAATGCAGTCAGATAGCTGGCGAGCTAATTCAGACCCTTTTGAGAATAACAGGTTTAACGGCACGCGTTTCGAAACAATGAAGTAAACAGAAGAAAAAAAACATTGTTTGTCAAAGTTCGATAGCTCGATGAATTGTCAGTCGCTTCCTCAAGCTCACTAATGCAGTGACGTAAACAACTTTCTGGCTCGAATTTCAAAATAAACGTCTAAGATCGGTAGTGCGCATGCGCATCCGCACCATGGGCGTGGTCACGCGTCAGAGTCCCACACGGAGCGAGCGGCCATCATTGTTGTGGCAAGGAAGACGCTTGTTTGAGGCGAAATTTATGTCCAGATAAATATGTTCCGCAAATGGAATATTCCAAATATAGAAAATATATATTTTTTTGTTAAATAATATACTTCTTACCAAGGATATTCGATAAAAGGACGTCACCTGGAAACTATGCATTTACCATAACACAAACTATTACTGTAGGCTGGCTATATATATATATATACACATACCATACATACACACCTACTCCAAGGTACTTTAAATTATACCAGGTATACATAAAACCTGGTATTATCATGGTACCATGTCCAAAATAAACAATGGTAATATCATGGTACTTTTTGTTAGTGTTACTGTACAATTTCCTGTACAATGTTACTGATGACACTTCAAATATGCAAATCAAATATGTACAATAAATAAAATAAAAAGGCCAGAGATTGGTGCATGATTTCAATATTTTACGGAGAGCTTTTCTGATTCAGAGGAAAATCTTTATACCACTTTAGGTGATGGGAAATGCCACAACACTGATAATATACAGGCAGAAGAAAAATTATATAAGCACAGACATATTTACATTCACTGAATCTTTGTCTTTATCAGAATAAGATTACAGGGGACACATTCATGGCATTTTAGAGGACACTGAATCAACAAACGGAATGGCGACCAAATATAAATCAATCAACATGACTGATAAATACAAATCCGTTAAAAGCCTAGTGTGGCAAAGCGTACGACTAATTAAACAATACAGATCTGTACAATTTAGAATTTTTTTTGTAATGAAAAATATCAGGTCATGCAAAATAAAAACCCAAACATACCTTTGTAAGAAAACAAAGAACAAAAAAAAGAGTTATAAAAATAAAGTTATGAATAAATGGATGTTTTTGCTGGTTACACTGTATGTATTACTGATGCGTTCGTACACGATTCTACTTTAAGATACAAGATAAATTCCTCCTCTTTTAATAACACTTTGGTTTAGTTTAAAACAACTATTTCATAAATTCTATAATTCATAAACCGCTATTTAGAACCAAAATGTTAAACAAAAGCATGGTGAAAAAGACATCTTTTGTTTTCTTTCCAAATAAACGCACAAGAGCCGTGTAGGAAAGCAACAAACTTCATAGCCATGTTCTGTACAACATCTACAGTTTTGCTGGTGATCCACTCTGGGATTAAGAAATCCAACAAGTGCCCAATGCTTAAACCAAGGGTTATACTGGATTTTATAAATGGCAAGCTGGGTTACATTACACGTCAAACCACTGGAATGCTTTTAAACTTAATATAAAAGCCATTTCCCAAGTTTGGCTACAAGACAATGTAGTCCACTGAATAAAAACAACCAAACAAACCTATACTTTCTTACAGATGGAAGTGATTGGGCTTACAATATGAATTTCTACATACGTATTCGCAGGGCAAAAACAAACAAAAAATGAAGATCCACCATTGTAGTGTTAATAATCGCAACATTTAAAGTCCAATTGTAGCAACAAATCCATCAATAACTTTTCTCTTTTCCTTTTTTAAAATGTACATTCAAAACGCTGCCCAGTGATACAATTTAAACCAGTATCATGTAAACAAATTTCTGATTAGAATAAAAAACAAAACGAAAAAAAAAAGTCAACTTTTAAAGCACTTTTCAAATACACGAAACGCTGAAATCAAGGCAATAGCAACCAATTCTAATAACTGGATGCCAATGCAGTTATTAAAGAAAGAATGAGCCACTCGTTTACTGCTTCGTTTGAGTTTCCAGGTGTCGTTGCTCTCAATTATAAAACACCCGAAATGAGAGGTAGACTCACTGGAGAAAAAACGAGGGTGTACGCCATATTAACGAGCTAATTCATTCTCAATAAAACACCAAACAGTTGGAATAATGCTTTCATAACTAATAAGGAATTTGACTTTTCTTTTTCCACTTGCTAGACCTAAATGCTACAAACTGACGTGACCCAGAATGCCACATTAGGACAGGCTTGTACTGTACAGAAACCAAGAACGCAATAAAGGTAGAAAATCCTTACGGTTCAACAATTTCAGATTTGCTATTGTGTTCTGTACAATATTTTAGAAACAAAAGAAAACGGACTGACTTTCACTGCAGATGGATGACTGGGTGGAAACTAGATTATAAATATTTTTTCTGCTTCTTTACTGACCTTTTGTTATTACATACAGTATATATTCTGGCATGAAGCAACCAAACGTGACCTCGCAACTCCAAAAGGAACGCCTATGAACGGGTTTAACAGGAACTGACGAGAAGCACTAACGTTAATGCATGTCAGGATGAAGGCATTTTTAACATAGCTGCCTGATCGCCGATCGTCTTCTGAATCATCTAAAACAACAATATACAAGCATTGGTGCCTCAACTCATTGACAGCTTCGTAATCCTGCCAGTGACAAAAGCACAGATTTAAAGAGAGAATATCACAAAGCCGGTTTTATTTCAACCCAAAATCAACAAAGAAATATGCTATTTTATTTTGCTTATAAGAATATGAAGCCTATTTAAAAACTGTTCCGTTTTTGTAATTTTATATTATTTTTTATGTACACTGTAATGCAAAAAAAAAAAAAAAAATTTACTACCGTAATGCAAAATATATTTAGGTAGTAAAACCCCAGTGCTAACATGTTGCATTGTGTTTAATTTAATCTAGGCTGACTTTATTTTTTATTTTTTTTTATATAATTGTAATAGTAACTTTTTAACTGTAATACAGTAAATAATTACTGTATAACAAATGAAAATAATGTAATGAAAGATTAACCATTTAGAATAATGAAAACTACAAAAACTCAAATGAAAATGGAAAAACTTGCATGATTGTTGAAGAAGATGCTAATGAAAAACTTAAAAGGCTTTCTGCTTTTTCTTTACGCAAAATAATTTTCTTTCAATCTTGGTGTGAAATATGACATTTCAATGAGATTCACCCTAAAAAGGCCAAAAAAAAAAAAAAAAGATAGACATGACTACATTTATCATCTCTTAAAAAAAAAAAAAAATGTGACCAAACTTATCAATACACTGATATAAAACTCAACAATTATGATAACATAACTCAAAAAACCTAAAACAAATAATATTAAATAATAGAGGTGGAAGTAAACAAATATGGGTCTTTCTTCTTCTCGAGTGAACATTTACATGCCCAGTGCCCATCTAAACCCAACAGCGTAATATTAAACCTCTCATACAACCATAGACTCTTTCCCATAAACATACATACATACATACACGTGGCCACACGCCAGCGCCGCGGTCTAAATGTTTGTTGTGTCCGGAGCAGTCTTGTCAACAGGACTGCTGTCGTCTTGAGTCTTAGCCAAGCGCTCCTGGACCGGTTTGGAGTCTTTGTCTCCTGTACTGGTGGAAGAAGGACCAGGTGAGGGCAATGAACGGCCGGAGACCTTATACGCCGCCAGGAACTCCTGGATTCTCTCCGTGGTGGGCTCCCATTTGCTAAAGCCAGCGTTGTTTTGGAGGAAAATGACTGCTGTTCCATGGACAGACTTGTAGTACATCTCTTCTCTGAGACACAGAGGAGAAACATGAGTCATGGCAGCAAAACATGAATTAAAGGGTTAGTTCACCCAAAAATAAAAATTGCCTTGTGTTTTACTCGCCCTCGAAGCATCCTAGGTGTATATGACTTTTTTCTTTCAGACGAATCCAGTCGGAGTTATATTAAAAATTGTCCTGGCTATTCCAAGCTCTATCATTGCAGTCAGCGGGTGTTGCAGTTGAACAATCCACAAGTCGTCAAATAAAGCGCGCGCATCCATAACAAAACGTGCCTCACAGCATAAGGCGTTCCGGCAGAAGGCGTATGACGTATGCGCAGCGCGCGCCCCTCTGAGATATGCTAGTCTCGCGAGTTTGTTTATAGGAGCAAAGGAAGCAAAGTTTCCTTACTTTAGCAAAAAAACAGTCTCCTCTTGGCTTATATCGAAATCCTCCGACATTTTTCTTTGCAAATCCTCGGTTTGTACTTCTAATTCGTGACCGGCGTTTTGTTTTGTTGTCTCTCCACATTCGTCACTAATCACGCAACGCCGACGTGCTACGTCATCCGCCAGCATGGCTTCCGCATATGACAGTTGGCGGAAGTGATAGAAAAATGTTAATTACGTTTGAAATATGGATATTTTCCTTACAAAAACACATGGATTCGCTACAGGAGGCCTTTATTCATCCCCCGGAGCCATGTGAGTCACATTTTGTTATGGATGCGCGCGCTTTATTTGACGACTTGTGGACTGTTCAACTGCAACACCCACTGACTGCAATGATAGAGCTTGGAATAGCCAGGAAAATTTTTTATATAACTCCGACTGGATTCGTCTGAAAGAAGAAAGTCATATACACCTAGGATGCCTCG